CAAGAAGGGAGATTTTGGGGTGGAGGGGAGTAAAAGGGGAGGGAGAGGGTGTCGCTCCCCCTCTTCGTGGAGGAACGACACTAAACCCTGCCTAGGTTTCCTATCCGAGTCACGGCACCATTATGCCTCCTAGGCTTCATATCCGAGTCACGGCACCATTATGTCACTCCCCCTCTTCGTGGAGGAACGACACAGGACCCTGCGTTGTTCTTTCGTCTGCTCAGCCCTTCCCGGGTTTGCTGCTGGTTCTTCCCGGGTTGGCTACCGTCCCTTCCACCTCCGTGGAAGGGCGGTTCCCCCTGCCACTTTCCCCACTTCCGCGGGGGAGCGGCACAACGCCGGCCGGCTCTCTCGGGGGCTGCACAGGTGTTCCTTCAGATAGATGTTCCTGGTGCATGTTGTCTCTCTCCTCCTTTATAAATTTTTTTTTTTTAATTTTTTTTTTTAATTTTTTTTTTTTAATTTTTATTTTTTGACAGGCAGAGTGGACAGTGAGAGAGAGAGACAGAGAGAAAGGTCTTCCTTTTCCGTTGGTTCACCCTCCAATGGCCGCCGCGGCTGGCGCGCTGCGGCTGGCGCACCGCGCTGATCCGATGGCAGGAGCCAGGAGCCAGGAGCCAGGTGCTTTTCCTGGTCTCCCATGGGGTGCAGGGCCCAAGCACCTGGGCCATCCTCCACTGCACTCCCTGGCCACAGCAGAGAGCTGGCCTGGAAGAGGGGCAACCGGGACAGAATCCGGCGCCCCGACCGGGACTAGAACCCGGTGTGCCGGCGCCGCTAGGCGGAGGATTAGCCTAGTGAGCCGCGGCGCCGTCTCTCCTCCTTTATAGTCCTCTTCCACCAATCCCAACTCTGCTACCCACACGCCGAGCACGCTGCTCTCCTCCAATCAGGAGCAGGATCAGCTCCTGCAGGTCATCACTCAAGTTGGCGAGAGGCAGCTGCGTAGAAGTTGTTACTCCCTTCTCAGCGCCATATTGTGGGAGAGCAGATGCATAGAATAAGTCTTAATTCCAGTAACAGTCTAGTCTGAGTTGCTCCCCACAGAGGGTATCACGGAACCACAAATCTTGTGGTTGTAAGAGCCATTAAAAAACTATGCGGTTCAGCTTCCTGTATTCAAACAAGGCAAGGCTTACAAATTTCCTTTAGTTGGGGGAAATGGAAATGCAGATTGAGGGAAGTGGAGAAGTGATTTACCCAAGGTCACACAGCTAGGGAGTGTCAGAGGTGTACTGCCTGTGAGCACAGTTCTGGCAAAGGAGAGTTCACCTAGTCCAGAGAAGGGCTGGACATGCCTGTTCCTTCATCAGAAACAAACTACCTTCAGGCCAGATGGCTGGAGCTATAAAATTAATAGGAATTTTTTTTCCAAAAGGCTCTTTGAAAACAGAGAATGGAACACTGCAATTGAAAGCTCTGTCCAAGAATCATGAGGATGCACACAGGACATGATGCTGTCAAGGTCAGACTGGCAAGAGGCCCTCAGGAAGCTTCATGGACTTCAAACCAAATTATTATGGTGATTCCAATCAGCAGATGGGATTCTGCAAACAATAACATTTACAAGGTAATCTCCATTCTCACTAATTGCATTTCCCAAGAGCCAATTGTTGGGCAAGGGTAGAGCCATCCCAGAGAAGACACAGCAGCTTCTGTAAATCTTTCTTACCTTCAATTAGCTTTTTTTTTTTTTAAAAAAAACAGGCAGAGTGGACAGTGAGAGAGAGAGACAGAGAGAAACGTCTTCCTTTTGCCGTTGGTTCACCCTCCAATGGCCGCCGCGGCCAGCACACTGCGGCCAGTGCACCGCGCTGATCCGATGGCAGGGGCCAGGTACTTATCGTGGTCTCCCATGGGGTGCAAGGCCCAAGCACTTGGGCCACCCTCCACTGCACTCCTGGGCCACAGCAGAGAGCTGGCCTGGAAGAGGGGCAACCGGGACAGAATCCGGCGCCCCGACTGGGACTAGAACCCGGTGTGCCGGCGCCGCAAGGCGGAGGATTAGCCTAGTGAGGCGTGGCGCTAGCCAGCTTTTGGCTTAACACAAGCACACAACACATTCTTGACTATGCCTATACACATGCCAACATGCACACGTTCTGGCACACGTCAACACCCAAGGCTCCTCAAAAGGCTGCGGCGTAGCTCATCGGTAGGATCTTAATTATTATGTGTGTACGTTCCAGACTTGCTCTACCAATAGTAAAGAGCAAAACAGCACTGGGCAGCGGTGTTCCCATATCAAAGAACAAAGTTGAAACTCCCATACAATTATGTTTGATCACAGTAGAAGGTGAAATCATTAGATATTAGCGAGGTGCAGTGGAATAAAAATGATGTGTTAGCGGGGGTTCATTACACTGTATTTTCAGAGCCAAGAAGATCAATGCGTTCATGCATCATGAATTAGGCTCCGACTTTAGCCTTCCCTGCTCTCCGGAAACCCAACATGATCTATCACCAGCCATACATCACCGTTTCAGGATTGCACATTAACGAGAAAGCTGCAGTTTCCGCCTGTCAAGCTGACCAGCTGCCTCGGTCTCTGCAAAACGGGGAAATATTTCTGGTCCAGGATTTTCGTTTTAGAACAAAAAAGGGGTAAAAGAGCTCAGTGTCATCTGGACAATCGTAGGGTCTGATCCCGCTGTTGTCCCAGTGTTGCAGTAGATGGTTCTATCTTCTGCCAGGCCTCTGTCCACCCTGGATCTAGGCCTGTAGGAACTCACTGTTATGGTTTAAGATGCTGCATCCCCCATGCGACACAGCTGGGGATACCTAGGGCACACCCTCCTTGCCCCCAGCATTTGCTCAACATCACTGGGTACAGACAGAAGTCTGAGAGGGAGACCCACGTGTCAGATGTGCTCCTTTTCTATGCCGATTCCCCTCTCTCCCTGCACACACCCCCCGCCTCTTCCCTTAATAGAGGCTCTTTCACCACCCAGCAGTTTGCCACTAACACTTTCCCTTCATTTACTCGCAGTCCACCTCCCTTCCCTGCTGCCTGACCCACACCTGCTAGCGCAGCCCCTCTTGCCGGCTGGTGCTCAGATACCCGCAGACAGTTCTGATCGCGGCTTTTAATCGGCGTTTAGCCAGTCTGTCCATATTTAGTTCTTTTAATCTTTCCTCATCATTCAATCCCTCCAGCCTCTTCATCATCTTTTTTTTTTTTTTTTTTTTTTTTTTTTTTTTGGTGTGTTGCTCTTTCCTGAGCTTTATCCAATTTGTCTATATCATCTTTCTGGCTGTGACATGCCCACCAGCCCTGAACTCCACCACTGCGGGAAGAGAGGCTGCGAGGGTCTCCATCCACCCTGCTCTTCTCCTCCAGGACTAGCTCAGAATTTGAGGGTGGATTTTGATCGCTGTCTAGCTCATTGCTGAAACACAAGTAAAAGCAATAGGAAGATAATGTTAGAACAAAAGAGATTGAAGTACATGGGAAAACTTTCCGACAATTGTTCTCCTGGGAACAGAAGAGACCTTGACCTCATCTGTCTGGACTCTGGGAGAAGGAGGCTGTCTCAGGGGTTTCCGCTGCCCCTCTCTCTCCAGCCAGCAGGGCGTGCCTGGAGCATCAAGGTTGATGACTTGATCGCTGTGGTCACCCCTGGGCCACTGCCTCCCCAGTTAACACATGAGGCATCTTCAAAAAGTTCATGGAAATGCATGTTATGAAAAAAAAATGCATGCATGGATCTAAATGTTTTTTGCATCAAAATAAACTTTTCTTTCATTTCTACTTTTCATAAACCTATTTTTTAAAAGATTTATTTATGTACTTGAAAGGCAGAGTTTTAGAGAGAAAAAGAGAGAGAGAGACAGAGAGAGGTCTTCCATCTGCTGGTTCACTCTCCAAACGGCTGCAACAGTCAGGACTGAGCCAGGCCTAAGCCAGGAGCTTCTTCCAGGTCTCCTGTGTGGGTGCAGGGCCCCACACACTTGAGCCATCCTCTGCTGCTTTCCCAGCCACATTAACAGGGAGCTGGATCAGAAGTGGAGCTGCTGGGACTCCAACTGTTGCCCATATAGGGTGCCAGAGCTGAGGCCAGGGCTTTAAACTGCTAAGCAATAGTGCTGGCGCCCTTTTCATGAACTTTGAAAAATTTTATTTATTTGCTTTATTTGACAGAGAAGGAGAGAAAGGGGAAGAGAGAGACACACACACACACACACACACACACACACACAGAGAGAGAGAGAGAGAGAGAAAAACAAAGATGGAGAGATATCTTCCATCCACTGATTGACTCCCAAATGGAAGTCAGGTCAAACTGCAATAGTCAGGTCTGGGCCAAGCCAAAGCCAGGAGCCAGGAGCCAGGAACTACTATTCAAGTGGCAGAGATGCAAGTACTTGGGCCATCTTCTGCTGCCTTCCCAGGTGCATTAGCAGGAGGTTGGATCAAAGTGGAGTAGCCAGGTCAGAACTGGCATGCTGATATGAGATATTGGTGTTGCTAGCAACAGCCTAACCTGTGGCACCACAAAACCAGAAAAAAATGACTTATTTGAAAGGTAAAGCACAAGAGAAAGAGATCCACCATCTGCTAGTTCACTTCCCAAATCCTAGCAACAGCTGGGGCTGGACCAGGTCAATGGTAGAACTCAATTCAGCCAGTGCCATGGCTCACTAGGCTAACCCTCTGTCTGCGGCACCGGCACATCGGGTTCTAGTCCCAGTCGGGGCGCCAGATTCTGTCCTGATTGCTCCTCTTCCAGTCCAGCTCTCTGCTGTGGCCAGGGAGTGCAGTGGAGGATGGCCCAAGTCCTTGGGCCCTGCACCCCATGGGAGACCAGGAAAAGCACCTGGCTCCTGGCTTCAGATCAGTGAAGCCTCAGCGGCCATTGTGGGGTGAACCAACGGAAGAGGAAGACCTTTCTCTCTCTCTCTCACTGTCCACTCTGCCTGTCAAAAAAAAAGAAAGAAAAAAAGAACTCAATCCATGTCTCCCACATGGGTAGCAGGGATCCAAGTACCTGAGGCATTACCTATTGCCTGCCAAGGGTGTACTGCAGCTGGAAGCTGGAATCAGGAGTAAAACCACGACTTGAACCCAGGAACTCCAATAGGAAACTTGGGTGTCTCAAGCAGCATGTTAACTGCTGTGGCGAAGTGGCAGCCCCTCCTTGAACTTCGTGAATTCCCCTTGAATGGCGTATGATGAAACTGAGCATCTGGAAAGCAATTTTTGATAGCATCCGTGAAAACTACGAGCAAGAACTGACTGGAGGCCTTGGAGGGTCTCCATTTGAGGACTGCGAATTTATGAGAAAGTTTGAGCTCAGCAATAGGACTTCTGAACCATCAGCATTGTGTGTAGAAGGCACAGAGCTGAGATGGGCGGACTGCAGGAGTCCAGGCTCAGTGACTTGCAACCCGGGGCCATTGGGAAGGAGGCAGTTGGGTAGGAGCTGGTTGGAGAAGGGGAGACTTTTATAGTTGAAGAGCCACACACTTCCTATTTATTAGGGTTTGGAATCCACTCCTTTGTTTAATTCAGGTCTCCTCTCAAATGTCACTTCCTTAGAGAGCGCTTCCTTGAAAACACGCTCTACAACCGTGCTCTACGTGACTTCCTGTGCACTGTCGGGCGACTAAACTATGTTTCATTTGTTTGACACTTCATCGTCCAATTCAGCCCCTAGAACGTAGGTGGCCTGAGAGTGGCAACAGCAGTGCTGGACAGTGGTTTCGGTGTTCATTGTCATCCTGCTTTTCCTCCAGAAGTAGGAAGTGTGCAGACTCCAGTTCGGACTCACAGGAGCTGGTGGCGCACACGGGAGTCGCCAAGGTGTGAGTCAGCCTGGCTCTCCTGGGGTCTCTGAGCAAAGCCCCACTGAGTTCAGGGCACCGAGAATGAGCTGGGAAAACCTTTTCCAAAGAGATCGCTGCCACCAGCTCTTCTCCCCCCTGGAAAAAGAGCTGCTGTGCCTCCCAACTGCCATTCTGCTGTTACAAACAGCTTAAAGCGCATTCAAAAAGATAGGGAAAGAGCTTCTGATCTCTCTAAAGGGGCCCTCCCCTGCCCCATGCCCAAGCTGAAGCCTAATGGACTTGCAGCAGGTTCCTATGCCACTACTGCCAGTAATGTATTCAGATATTCCAAACACTTAAGTCCAGGGATTCCAAAATCTGTGTGCATATCACTGATGTATTTATATATTATATTATATTATATTATATTATATTATAAAGCAGTTATTATATATCTAATATAATATATCGATATATATTATAGTGACTCTATAGCTATGCACTTTCTATTTTAAGATTGTATTTATTTATTTGAGAGGTGGCGTTACCGACAGACAGAGGGAAAGGCAGAGAGAGGTCTTCCATCTGCTGGTTTGCTCTCCAAATAGCCACACTGACAGGAGCTGGGCTGATCCGAAGCCAGGAGCCAGGAGCTTCTTCCAGGTCTCCAACATGGGTGCAGTAGCCCAAGCACTTGGGCCACCATCCACTGCTTTCCCAGGTCATTAGCAGGGAATTGGGTCAGAAGTGGAATAGCCGGGACCTGAACTGGTATCCATATGGGATTCCCATGTTGTACGCAGAGGCTTAACCTTCTATGCCACAGCACTGGCCCCAAGTCAGAAGTTCTTAAAAACTTCCCAGCTGATTCTAACATATAGCAAGTGTTGGGAGCCACCATTCTAGACACATCTATGGATGTTGTGAACCACTTGCTGATCTAGGGGGGACCAAGATGATGTTTCAGAAATAGCAGTTACCACAGTTGCTGTATCTTGGTATTCTGTGGCCATGGTTATTAGTCAGAGCAGGACAAGGGAAATGAGGTGGCTTGGGACCTCCTATTTGGAACCTGCAATGGAGAAGCTGACCCACTTTTAATTGCAGCACAGATATGAAGACAATAATGTAGGTCTATGGGAAAGTTATAAAATTATCTGTAAGGAGGTGAAAGCAGATGGTAAACATGAATTAGGATAGGAGTTTAAAAGTTCAATAGATAGCTGGCGCCGCGGCTCACTAGGGTAATCCTCCGCCTTGCGGCGCCGGCACACCGGGTTCTAGTCCTGGTCGGGGCGTTGGATTCTGTCCGGGTTGCTCCTCTTCCAGGCCAGCTCTCTGCTGTGGCCAGGGAGTGCAGTGGAGGATGGCCCAAGTGCTTGGGCCTTGCACCCCATGGGAGACCAGGATAAGCACCTGGCTCCTGCCACCAGATCAGCGCGGTGCGGTTCACCCGGTGGAGGGTGAACCAGCGGCAAAGGAAGACCTTTCTCTCTGTCTCTCTCTCTCACTGTCCACTCTATCTGTCAAAAAAAAAAAAAAAAGTTCAACAGATGGGTAGTGGGCAATGGTGGTCTCTCTGCATGGTGTCAGGCTCAGAACCTTGACCTTGGGTGGTTACTAAGACCCTTATTAACCCAAAGTTGAACCTTCCAGGACACCTGGAAAAGCTGATAAAATAGCAACCTAGGATAGGGATGAAAACAGAGACCTCAAGACTCAGAAATAAAGCTAGAGACATCCAGTCCTGTGGTCAGTATTAGGAAATAAAACTGAGTAATGGTGTAAAGGGAGATCCAAGGCCAAACCCATCAGGTGCTTGAAAGGAGTTAAGTTACTTCCAGCCAGGTCTATTCTGTTCATTGATGCTTAGCCGAGTACCTGGGAAATAAAAAGGTTCTCAATAATGAGGAAGGAAGTTTGAATCTGCCTGCAGGTGGGGATCATTAGTAGATGTAGTTTTTTGTTTTCAAACAGTTTTATTGATACGTAATTCACATACCATAAAATTCACCCATTTTAAAGTGTACAATTCAATGGTTTTTGGTATGCTGCATTATTCATGTTTAAAAGTGTGGTAAAATACAGATAGCATAAAATTTGCCATTTTAATCATTTTTATGTGTACACTTCAGTGGCATTAATTACATTCACAATGTTGTACATCCATCACCACTTTGCATTTCCAGAATGTTTTCACCACCGCAGACAGAAGCTCTAACCATTCAGCAGCACAGTTCCTTGCCCTCCTCCTTCCCAGCCCTGGTGACTGCTAATCAGCCTCCAACTTGCTGCCTCTATGAACTTGCCTATTCCAGATAGTCAATATGAACAGAATCACAGCCTCTTTGAGGTGCTGGAAGCATGAATGCATGGTAGGGGCAAGAGGGTGCCTAGTTCACAAGCACACTACTTCATGTTGCTGCTTCCTCTCTTAAGACAGGGCTTGTGATTTTGCTTTGCTAATGTTCTGAGGGTTGGCACCAGCACCTGCCAACCTCCCCATCACCTTCGAGGCAGTTGAGTTTTCTTTGGAGCTACTTTTCAGTCTGTAATAGAGCAAGTATTAAGAAGTGGTTGTGGGGCTGACTCTGTGGCACAGTTGGTAAAGCCACTGCCTGCGGCACCGGCATCCCATATGAGTCCCCACTGTTCCACTTCCAATCCAGCTCCCAGCTAATGCGCCTGGGAAAGTAGTAGAAGGCGGCCTGGGTACTTGGGCCCCCGCACCCATGTGAGAGACCAGAATGGAGTTCTGGGCTCCTGGTTTTGGTCTGATCCAGCCTGGCCATTGTGGCCATTTTGGGAGTGAATCAGCGGGTGGAAAATGTGTCTCTCCCCGTCTCTCCCTCTCTGGGTAACTCTGCCTTTCAAATAAATGGAAGCAGTCACAGCCTCCCAATTAATACACATCTCCGTAACAATGAGCGGAAGGCAGGCCTGCTCTGCAATGCTGGGGTAGAGCTGCTATTTCTCTTTCTGAAGGGAGAACTGGGGCTTCCTCTGCGGCATCAGCCCAGGAAGCCGGTTATTCCCAGCGCTGAGGGTCAGCTCAGCCCAGGCTGCCCCTTCTCTGAGGTTCTATTGCAGTGACCTCAACCCTCTGCCTCCTCCTGGCCTCCTCCCTGCTGTTTGCTTCTGACCACCTCCACCCCTACCCCCGACCCCAGCCCCTCGCTGCCGCCTGCTCCATGCCCTAGCTCTTTCTAGTTCTTGGGACGGCAGCCAAATTCTTGTATTACTGCCGGTATTCACCCTGGGTCCTCTGATGCACAAGTGTCCTCGCGGAGGCCTCACCAGGGAGGCGGGACCATCACGGATGGCTGACATCCCCAGCAGAAGGTCAGGGGCAGGGCGGGCCCTGCAGGGAGATGGGCGGGGACACAGTGAATGCGGCACAAACTAGCAGCCCAGGCTCACTCTCGCTGGAGTCTCTAGACAAGGAGCGCTTGTGCTAGAGAAGAGAGGAGGAAAGAGTCCGGGCAAGGGGGTTGGTTGAGGAAAGAGAGGAGAGCAGAATGCGGGAAGCAGGAGTTGAGAAGGCCTTTGGCTGAATCCTGATACCTTCCACTGATCCCCTGCCCAGGTCATGTTTATTGATCAGACACACAACTGGAAATCCTCAAAGGTCACGGGTAGGGAGAAAGCTTGGGTGATCTGGAGATGCTATCTAAGAAACACCATAGCATGTGCAACGTGCACACACTCACCCATTAAAATGAAGCCTTATGGCACCTTTTCCAGAGCGCTGTGGGTCTGAGCTCCCTGCTTTGGAACACAAGAGACTTGACTGCAATTATAGTGGGAGTCTGTTGGTTCGGGTATTCCAGTGATACATGATGGGGTTAACTGTGTAGACACACACCCCGAGCAGTCTATCAGATTTAATGTGCTTCGAATTCCAGTTCCATCTCACTAGGGATGTAAAAGTTTTAGCCAAATAAGTCCTCTTTTTTGTTTGAATTCTTTTTTCATCTTCTTGGTTCTGTATATCTCACTATATCTCCTGCTGCTATAGACAGACCACCTACATTCGAATGGTTGCTTCTTTTCTACTAATTGTAAAAAATTCTCAGTCTCTCCAGCAGCAATTCCTTAAAATTTTCCCTGTATGTACAGCATCTCCATTAATTGTATTTTGAAAGCTCAAGCTACTGCTGTTTATAATAGCTACTCTATAGGTCCATGTAGTACTGAACTATTTGTGTATTCATTCAATAAATTTTGTGTGAAATTACCTGTAACCCCAGGAACATTATCTTTTTATAGACCATAACTTTACTCCGTCTCACTGTTTTGTGTGTTCTCACACTGTGAAGCAGTAGGAGGGGCTTTATACTCCCTAACTTTTTTTTTTGGCAAAAAGTGCATGATTCTTCATTTCAGCAATAACTGGAAAGCCTTTCGCCACTATCTAGGACTCATAGACTTTGTTGCATCTGTGTTTCCTCTTCTCTTTGTGCTTTTCACTGAATAACTTCGTGTTTACCTCTATGTGAGCATAGGAACATTTATGTGCAGCAAGAAGAAGACAGAATTAAATGACTCCTTGGCTGGAGTCCTGCACTTTCCCAAATGCACTGTGCTTTGTTTTAGCACCAGGTCATGTGCACGTGGTTACTTCCCCTTTGGAATTCTCTCCCCTCCCTCTTTGCTTGGTGATTCCTTTTCTTATCTAGGGACCGACCTGGATTTTACTTCTTGGGAGCCTGCCTTGCCTTCCTCCCTAATTGTAGATGGTTGTTCCTTTTCTGGGTTTCCACAGTACTATTACAGTTCTTACCTTTTTTTTTTTTTAAAGGATCTATTTATTTATTTATTTGTAAGGCAGAGTTACAGAAAGAGAAAGAGTGAGAGAGACCTTCTGTCCACTGGTTTACTCCCCAGATGGCCCCAGTAGCTGGAGCTGGGCCAATTTGAAGCCAAGAGCCAGGAGCTTCTTCCAAGTCCCCCACATGGATTCAGGGGCCCAAGCACTTGGGCCAGCTTCAGCTGCTTTCCCATGCGCTTTAGCAGGGAGCTGCATCAGAAGTAGAGCAGCCAAAACTTGAACCAGCACAAATGTGGGACTTGCTACGCCACAGCACTGGCCCTTACAGTCCTTATGTTAATGTTTACTTTTCAAGATCTACATTCTCCAAGCCCTGGGTCCACCTTGTCCATTATTCTAACTTCAGCGCCTGGTACAGTGCTAGGACCATATCAGGTACTCAAGGCACATGTGAAGCTCAGCCAGAGCCGTGTTCTCAAGGGGGCAGCTTCTGTTCCCATTGCCTATACTTCCCTTCCCACTTGTAATGTATACCTATGACAGAAATAAATTTTCATCCCTAACCCTGATGTTTTCTTTTGTTATTGCCTTGTATTTTTGTCTCTCTCTCTTTTTTTCTTGAAATATTTCACTGAAAGCAGCGACTTGTTCAGCCCAGAGTTGCCTGGTAAAATAGATTGTTCCTGGGTCCATTACCCAGGGTTCTGCAACACGTCAGCTGGCCACAGGGATCGGGAGCAGCCAGTGCATCCCAGCTGATGAGGGCTTCCCTCCCCAGCTGCTGCAGACTCTCACAAACACACCTGGACAGTTCCCCTTCCTCCTCAGTGGGAGCGGGCAGGCTGCAGATATGGGGATGTGGGAGGCTGACTCTGATTTGAGCTTTGCTGCCCTTGCTTAATGAGTAGGAGATGGAACCGTGTAGCCACCAGAACTCCTGGACCTGTTGGGCTTGTTGGGGTCCAGTCTCCTCCTGGGAAACACGGAGCGTGATTTCTTTCATGAATCCTGAGGAGCAGTCTGCATAACAACTGTAGAACCATGGGTCACTTCATTGATTCCTTCATGCATGCATGCATTCATTCATTTCACAAATATTTAATTGTTGTTAAAGACAAGGAGGACCCAGAGGTGAACAAGACTTTTCTAATGAGGAAGAGAAAATCTACACAAATGCACAGAGAAAAAGAGAGACTATGTAACATGATTTCATATGGTGAGAAAGGCTTTGTCCCTCTTGATGGGGAGGCTGTGATCTTACTGCAGCTGGAGGAAGTAAGCTCTTCCCCTTAGTCTGGATCAAGGTTTCCCACTCATTAGATGAGATTCCCTCTGTCATCCCAGGACACCAAATATGCTCTGAACATCCACATCCACATACCTCCTCCCTGTAACTCCCAGCAAGAAGCGATTGTCCATGTCAGCCTGTTCTTCCTCCTTCCCAAACCTGTGAGCAAGATGTCTGGCCATGCAAAACAGCCGGAGCACAAGTGGGCATCCGTTGTGCTCCAGCTGTCAGACTTTACCTAGTCCCAGGCTTCACCCGCTCTCCTCTCTAAGCTGAATTTCCTTGGCTGCCAGATCTGCAGGCTCAGCTGTGCCCCGGGCTGTAGGATCAATTCTGACTTCAGGCAGCAAGAATTTAAGCTGGTGCAGTGCCACAGTGTTGATTTGGTCTTGTCACCCTGGCTGCTTGCCGTTGTCCCTAATCTTGTGACTCGTTCTGACAGGTGGATGGTTTGACATACGCCTCTGTTCCTAAGTCCTTGCCTTGGTTATTTTCCTGCTACCTGGGGCCTCAGAGACGTGCCCTGTCCTGGCCTCCAGTACCTCGGGGATTTCATCGTGCCCCTTTACCTTGACTCTTGTAAACAGGCATCTTCCAGGGTGGCTCCCTGCCTGCTGAGACGCTGGCGTGTTGTATGTATTTGAGCTGTTTCTTGTGTGCATCTTGACTCCCTTCCACCTAGCATGTAGCTCATCATATTTCCCACGGAAGACACACATTTACCTTTCACCCCTTATGTGAGCCAGCTTTTTTTTGCAAGAACACATGCCGCAGGAAGGCCGGCTTCCTAGGGAAAAGGAATGTGTTTTGACTCATGATTCTGGGAATTGACGATCCAAGATCAGGTGGGTCCCGTGGGCTCAGTCTCTGGCAACAGTGCTCTTGCTGCAGAGTCGTGTGCTGGCACAAGACATCATGAGGCAGGAGACGTGGAGTACACGCCTGTCTGCCTGTCTGTCTATCTCTCTCTCCCTGTAAGGCCACCAGTATTCAGTCCCAAGGACTCCACCTTGATGACGTGATTGAATTTGATCATTTCCCAAAAGCCACACCTCTACACATGACAACTGGATTAAGTTTCTACCTTCTTACTACCATTAACTCACAGCCAAATTGTACTGTCACATGGTCTGGTACTCCGTCAGGTTCTGTGTGCCTTCCCCTGGATCGCTCTGCCCTCCTCTTGGAGCTTTCCTCACCATTCTGACCTCAGAATCTCCGCTGGCTTTCCTGTCCTAATGCAGTCAATCAGCCTATGCCCAGCTGTGTGCTCAGATGTGGCTCTGCCTCCCCCTTGGGACTCACCATCTTTCTTCCATCTTTTAAGTTTCTCCAGAGGTTTTAGTTAAATAATCAAAAAGACCCAGGGCCTCAAACAGATAGGTATATAGAGAGGGACTGATGGAGTCCCCTTAACTATAGTTGGGAAGGAAACAACAACAAAAAAATCCCCAAACAACAAAACCCATCAACAGAAGGCCAGGGCATCTGCAAGTGAGACATGGCAGCCTTGCTAAGTAAGGATCTCAAATCCCTGTGGGCTGTGGGCAGATGTCCCATAAACTCATGTGCAGCCTAATTTATACTGGGTGGTTAGTTCTGTTGTGGGAAGGTTATTTTGCTTGTCCTGGAAGCCAGGGCACCCAGTGGGATCCACCCTCTCTAAAGCTTGCCCTGTGCCAGGAAGGGGGCACCAATCTTGCCTCGAAGGGGTAAATCTAACATTTGCAAGCCTTGCCCTAACAATTCTGACCTCTATCCCATGCCCCGTCTTCACCTGGTCTATGTCCATGCCTGACCCTAGGCTCGGTCCTTCTGGTTTCCTGTTTGCTGCGAACAAGCCTCCAGCATCGGTGACACAGTTCTCCTGCTTCCACCTCTCTTCTTTGTGTTTCCTGATGTCTGGCATTCCTTCGTTTATTCCCTATAGTCTACAGAGGATACAGTCGCACAGCAGTTACTGAGTAGCTACCTCACAAGGTTCCCTAGGAGCGGAGCTGTGATAAATGTTGCCCAGTGAGACTTGAAGATGCTCTCGAAAGCTGATCAGCTTCCTCTGGCGAATCTGGGAGTGTGTCCTGGAGGAAGGGACCTTCATGCTGTTAGAAGCAAAGTGAAGGGAATCAGGGGGTTGGGATGGGGAGACAGGGAGGGAGTGAAGAGTGCTCCAGATGCAAGGATACAGCAGGGGCAGAGGCTTGAGGCAGGACATACTTGTATGTCTTTCCTACAAGCTTCACAGGGTCCACACTTGTACCCAGGAAGCAACCACCGACCTCCTGGGTCTGCGAACCTTCTTCTTCGCTCTCTGTTATGGAAGTCAGGTGAGACCATCCTAGAATTCCAAGATCCACCCTTATCTTGACTTTGGGTCTGGAGGGTTGGAGCAATCTGGCCAATGTGTGTCTTTCTGTGTTCTCCACACTGCGCCTTAAGTGGATGGGCAGTGAGTGTTTACAGCCCAGGGAAGTTTATCCAAGGTTCTGGCATTCTTTAATCTCCTTGACCTTGACTCTGAGAGCCCAGCCTTCTGTTTGCCGCAGGCTTCACAGGTGTGGCTCTGCGTCCAGCGCAGTGCCTGGCTCACGGTAAGCACTCTACAAATGCTAGCTGATTTGATTAGATTTGATCTGGGTCCATGTAAGCAGGCACAGGAGGAGAAACAGAAGAGAGAAATCAAAGGTTGATGACTATAAGGGGAGCAGTGATGTAATTTTAACCTGAAAATTATCTGTAAATAGACTACACAGTTTATTCAAACCTTAGTCTTTCGTAATCTAATTATATGCAAATGCCACTGTGGTCTTCCCTACCATCTTGCGTACCTGCACAGGGCATTTTGGAGACTCCAAGCAGAGCTCCTCAAGTTAAGGGAAAAAATAGACGGGTGACTTTGGAATGAGCTGAAGGGCAGCAGAGTGGTCCCTCCTCTGGTGGGGACAGCCCTCTTCAACCTATGTTATTCTTGTAGTCTCGTGAGCACTGCCTGCTTTCATTATCAGAAATGACTTGTTGGTACGCATGCCTAATTTGGGGGCAAACTTGTCATTTTTCTCATTGGTTTGAGCCCTGCCCTTTGAAACTTCTTTGACTAAATCGGATTTTGTTCCCGCTTGATTTCTATTCTAATGTTTTTTTGTTGTTGTTGTTTTGTTTTTGGGGGGTGGGGCAGGCAGAGTGGACAGTGAGAGAGAGAGACAGAGAGAAAGGTCTTCCTTTTGCCGCTGGTTCACCCTCCAATGGCCACCGCGGTCGGCACACTGCGGCCTGCATACCGCGCTGATCCGATGGCAGGAGCACAGGTACTTATCCTGGTCTCCCATGGGGTGCAGGGCCCAAGCACTTGGGCCATCCTTCACTGCCCTCCCTGGCCACAGCAGAGAGCTGGCCTGGAAGAGAGGCAATGGGGACAGAATCCGGCGCCCCGACCGGGACTAGAACCTGGTGTGCCGGTGCCGCAAGGCGGAGGATTAGCCTAGTGAGCCGCGGCGCCGGCCTTATTCTAATGTTTGAAGATGGCTGTAGGGCCTCCCAAAAGTTAGAACTGTAGGCATCCCTACCTGCCTACCTTGTTCCAGAGCCCTATCCTTCCTGCACAGCTCTGCTTGGGCGCTGGGGCTCTAAGGAACTCTGAGGGCCCCCGCTGCATCCTCCCAGCCCTCTCCCTAGGCCACACATGTTTATGGTGGCTGGATCAGCCTGTGGTCCAGCTCCTGTGATGGGGTCACATTTACGCGCGCATGCTTAGGTCTCTGCTGCGGCTCACTGCTTGGGATTTAGTGCCTTGGATGGGGGCCCTGTCTTACCTCACAAGGCCTCCCTAGGAGTGGAGCCAAACCTCTCTCCCTGCGGATGACTCCACAGTCTTTGATGCCAAGTACTTCTGCTGGCCTCCTCCTTGGCCCCTTGCCTGCTGGTAGACTCCATGGATCCTTTCTGGCCCTGCCTTGGACACTAACTTCCTGTGTGACCCCAGATTCCCTGGTTCCTAGCCTACAAATAGAATGAACTTTAATACATTCAAGGGTCCAAAAACTGGACCAAGGTTAGAATTAGGGCTAGGCTGAGGAATGAAAGTTAGGCTGGAGTCAGGGCCAGGAAGAGGAAGGAAAGGTTTGTGGCCTGTGGACTGTAAGTCAGCAGCTCCCTGGGGCAGCGACCCTGCAGCATAGGCCCCAGAGAGTGGCTATCTCTCCACATTTTGTGCCCTCAGGTCCTGACTTACTTCATCCCAGTTCCAGGCCTGCCAGGACCAAGGCCACGCTGGCAGCAGATCTGATCTATGTGGTCCAGGAAGAGGCCCAGATATTGCTTATTTTTAAGCTTCTGTTCAATTCTACAGGGGGTCAACATGTACAACCTGGTTTGGAAATCAGTGGACTAGACAACCTCTTGAGGGGCTCGCACCTTGAAGGGTGCTTCGGGCCCCGAGACTCTCAGCTGCACCCCTCTACCTCTGATGGGCTTTGGAACTCTACTGACTGCTTGTGATGGGCTGCTCTTTCCTAGTGGGGCTGTTTCATCTCCGGATTCCAGCCAAACTCAATCTAGCCCACCCTACTCCTGACCAGGACTTTGTTCTGACCAACTCTCCTTTTTTTCTAAGCAAAGCCTTCTTTAGATAGCCAAGGCTCCAAATCCATCATTCTATTAGCTTCCTGCTGGACAAGGGCCAATTGCCTGTGCATCTTTTACATGATGTAATTTGAAGAGTTTACAGTCTCGTGGTATATTGCTACATTCACGTTCACTTACTCAACAGGCACCAACGGAGTCTCTGTGCTGTGCCTTGCCTTATGCTACCTGCTGAGGAGGACAGAGACATAGATGTGATAAACTTTCTGCCTACTGTAGTTTATGGTAGATCAGCAATTCCCCAAATGTGTTCTGATGATTAACACACATTATGCAAAAGTAAATACAACAAAGCACCAAAGAAATTTCCTGGTGAAATAATGTAGGAAAACTTTAGTTAAAATAAACAGGCTTCTTTATTGGGGGCTTTTCATAATCTTTAATATGTTAACATGTACCATGCATCTTCTCAAGAAGAACCCAGTATAAAAAATCCCCAAATGTATTTGACCTCCAGACTCCCACTTAGCATGGAATATTCCAGAAGACATTTGGAGAGATGCTGTCATAGAACCTAGAATATGAAATCTGGAATCAAGCTTAATGCTAGTTATGAGAACTTTGGTAATGGGACCACAGTTGCATCACGAGTTTGAGCAGTCACACCACTCTGTCAACTTCTTGGGAGCTCTAAGCCAGCTAAATTGCTTGGGTCTTTTC